ATTTTTCCTGTGAAATTGAGATTTTTAAACGGAAATCAAAATGAAATATTAGAAATGAAAAATTTGATAGAGCAAATAAAAAATGTGATGGAAAGCCTTAACAGCAGACTTGGCAGGGCAGAAGAAAGAATATCTGTACTAAAAGACAAATTTTTGGAAATTGTACAGTCAGACCAAAGAAATACACACACACACACACACACACACAAAACCAAGAAAAAAAGAAAACTTAAAAACAGTGTTGGAGACTTATGGGATACTATCAAAGAACCCAACATATAGGTCTTAGGAGTTCCTGTAGGTGTGGAAAGAGAGAATGGACTAGAAAGCCTATTTAGTGAAATAATTACAGAAAACTTTCCCAATTTGGAGAAAGGGATGTCCAAGTAGAGGAAGCACATAGAACTCCTAACAGACATGACCAGATAAGATCTTCACCATGACACATTGTAGTTAAACTTTCCGCAGTAAAATATAAAGAAAAGATTCTAAAATGTGTATGAGAGAAGTGTCAGATTACTTTCAGAGGATCGCCAATTAGATGAGCAGCTGACTTCTCATCAGAAACCGTACAATCTAGAAGGGAATGGTGAGATATAGTCCAAGTCTTAAGAGAAAAAAGCTGTCAACCCAGAATACTGTACCCTGCAAAACTATCATTTATGAATGAAGGTGAAATAAAGACCTTTCACAATAAACAAAGTGAAAGAATTTGTCACCACTCATCTAGCCTTAAAAAGGATGCTTAAGAATATGCTACACACAAAACACAGAAAGATAGCCATCAATACAAAAGAATGTGAAGGCATAAAATCCCCCACTAAAAGCACAAAAGAAATCCAAAGTAAACAATAGGAATATTTATGGAAAAATGGCAGGGCCACATCATTACTTATCAGTAGGCACCTTGAATGTAAATAGCCTCAACTCTCCAGCTAAAAGATACAGACTGTCTGAATGGAATAAAAAATAAGACCCATCAATTTGATGCCTATAAGAACACATCTCATCAACAAAGATACAGGCAGACTGAATAAAAAGATGGAAAAAGTTTTCATGCTAATGGAAAGCAAAAAAAAAGAGCATGTGTAGCCATCCTGATGTCAGAAAAAATAGACTTTAGCATTAAAACTGTTGAAAGAAACAAAGAAGGGCACAATGTAATGATTAAGGGATCAATTCAACAGGAAGATGTGACTATAATAAATGTATATGCACCAATTACAGGGCACCTGGCTATGCAAAAGAAATGTTAATGGATCTAATAGGAGACATAGACTCCAATACAATAGTTATGGGGGACTTCAACATCCTAGTTTCATCAATGGACAGATTAATAACACAGAAAGTCAACAATGAAACAACAGAGGTAGTAGACACTATGGACCAAATGGACCTAGCTGATATCTACAGAAGTTTTCATCCCACAGTTGCATAATACATATTCTTCTCATTAGTGCATGGAACTTTCTCTATGATAGAGCACATGTTAGGCCATGAAATAAGTCTCAGCAAACTAAAAAAACTCAAAATCATACCATGCATCTTTGACCACAATGGAGTGATGTTGGAAATCAACAACTCAAGAATCTCTAGAACATGTGCAGATACATAAAGACTCTCCCAACAAAGAAAACCTCAGGACTGGATGTCTTCACTGCTGAATTCTACCAGACATTTAAAGAGGAACTAATTCAGATTCCTCTCCAGCTATTCAAAACCATTGAAAGGGAGGGAATCCTCCTAAACTCCTTATATGAAGCTAGCATCACCGTAATTCCTATGCCAGAAAATGATACACCAAGAAAGAGAACTATCAACCAATATTCCTGATGAACATAGATGCAAACATCCTCAACAAAATATTAGCTAATTGAATCCAACAACACATCAGAAAAATCATTCACCTGGACCACGTGGGAGTTATTCCTGGTATGCAGGGGTGGTTCAAAATTTGCAAATCAGTAAATGTGGTACATCACATTAACAAACTGAAGAAAAAAACATATGGTTATTTCAATAGATGCAGAGAGAACATTTGATAAAATATAACATCCTTTCATGACAAAACCTTAAGTAAATTGGGTATAGAAGGAACATTCCTCAACATAATCAAAGCAATTTATGACAGTCCCATGACCAGCATCCTACTGAATGGCAAAAAGTTGGAAGCATTCCCACTGAGATTCAGAATCAGATAAGGATGCTCACTTTCACCATTACTATTCAATATAGTATGGAACTTTTATGGAACTTTTAGCCAGAGCCATTAGGCAAGAAAAGGAAATCAAAGATTACAAATTGGAAAGGAGGAAATCAAACTATCCTTATTTGCAGATGACAAGCAACCTTATTCTACAGAAACAAAGCAGGAGACATCACAATACCACATTTCAAGACATACTACAGGGCAGTTATAATCAAAACAGCCTGGAACTGGCACAAAAACAGACTTGTAGATCAATGGAACAAAATAGAAACTCCAGAAATCAATCTACACACACACAAAAAAACTTATGTTTAACAAAGGAGCTATAATCAATCCCTGGAGCAAGGACAGTTTCTTTAACAAATGGTGCTAGGGAAACTGGATCTCCATGTGCAGAAGTATATACCTAGACCCTACCTTATACCTTACACAAAAATCCACTCAAAATGGACCAAAGACCTAAGTCTATGACCCAATACCATTCAATTACTGGGGAACACAGGAGAAACTCTGCAAGACACTGGCATAAGCAAAGATGTCTTAGAAAATACACCAGAATAACAGGAAGATAAGCCAAAATTAACAAATGGGATTACATCAAATTGAGAGGCTTATGTACTGCAAAGGAAACACTCAACAAAGTGACAGGACAGCTGACAGAATGGGAGAAAATATCTGCAAACTATGCAACTAATAAAGGCTTAACATCCAGAATCTATCAAGAGCTCAAGAAACTCAACCGCAACAAAACAAACAATCCAGTTGAGAAATGGCAATGGATTTGAACAGGCAGAGGAAATTCAGTTAGCCAACAGACACTTGAGAAAATGCTCAGGATCACTAGCCATCAGGAAATGCAAATTAAAACCACGGTGAATTTTACCTCATGTCATTTAGAATGGCTCTCATACAGAAATCAACAAATGACAAATACTCGTTAGGATATATACTGGTCCACTGTTGGTGGGAATGTAAACTGGTACAGTCACTGTGGAAGACAGTATGGAGGTACCTCAGAAATCCAAATATAGACCTACCATATGATCCACCCATCCTACTCCTGGGAATTTACCCAAACCAAAAGAAATCAGCATCTGAAAGAGTTATCTCTACCCCCATGTTCATTGCAGCACAAGTCACAATAGCTAAGTTATATAATCAACCCAGATGTCCATCAACTGTTGACTGGATAAATAAATTATTGTATATATACACCATGAATTTCTACTCAACTGTAAAAAAAAGTCCTATCTTTTGCAACAAGTTATGCAACTGGAAACCATTAAACTTAGTGAAATTAGCCAGTCCCCAAATATAGAGCTATCATATGTTTTCCCTGATCTGAGGTAACTAATAGAGTAGCTGAAATATACTGTATGGGAGTGAATATTTTGAGATTTGATGATTGTTTACAGCCCATGTTTCTTCCAAAGAAGAACGATGTTTTTTTTCTCTCTTCATACTATTTGCTGAACTCTTTTACTTAGTGTAGGATTAACTATAAGATTATTAAGTAAACTGAATATAGATCTTTGTAGAAATTAAGAATGGGAATTTGAGAGAGGGAGGAGGAGTAAGGTTTGGGGCTTGGACAGGAAGGAGGTTAGAGGAAGTGACACTATATTCTTAAATCTGTATATATGAAATACATGAAACTTGTATAACTTAATTAAAAACACAAAGATGAAATAAAAATTGCCATTCCTTGGAGCTTTGGCTAGAGCCTAAGAAAGGTATGTATTTAAAAGACTCATCTTCCCAGTGTGTCTTTTTTTTTAATTGACAGGTAGAGTTATAGACAGTGAGAGAAGAGACAGAGAGAAAGGTCTTCCTTCCATTGGTTCACTCCCCAAATGGCCACTACAGCCAGCACTGCACCCATCCGAAGCCAGGAGCCAGGCACTTCCTCCTGGTCTCCCATGCAGGTGCAGGGCCCAAGCACTTGGGCCATCCTCCACTGCCTTCCCGGGCCACAGCAGAGAGCTGGAATGGAAGAGGAGCAACAAGGACAGAATCTGGCACCCCAAATGGTACTAGAACCTGGGGTGCCAGTGCTGCAGGCAGAGGATTAGCCTAGTGAGCCACAGCGCTGGCCAACAAGTGTCTTTTTTTTTAATAACCAAATGAAAAATAGATTTATTACTTCACAGATTGACATAGGAGGTAAGGTTATTTATATTTTCTATGGATTTCCTTTCAGTTCTTGAAGACCAGTGTTGAATAACTTTTTTAGCTTCAGACAAGGGAAACCTTAGAAGGCAGAAACAAATGATCATTTAATAACCACAATTATAGATACTAATAGTTTAAAAGAATGTAGCCATGGCTTACAGAATGAAAAACTAATCTACCTTCAAAATGTGTAGTAGTGCATTTGATAAAGTACCACATAAACTGAGGAAATTTTAGGCTCAAATGTTGATAAGGAGACACTGTTGATAGGTAGTGAACCAAGGTTTCTTTTGTATCACTGATAAAAAGTTGGGAAATTAAAATGTTTTTTTTTTCCTTTTTTTTTTCTTTTTGACAGACAGAGTGGACAGTGAGAGAGAGAGACAGAGAGAAAGGTCTTCCTTTTGCCGTTGGTTCACCCTCCAATGGCCACTGTGGCCGGCGCACCGCGCTGATCCGATGGCAGGAGCCAGGTACTTATCCTGGTCTCCCATGGGGTGCAGGGCCCAAGTAACTGCACTCCCTGGCCACAGAAGAGAGCTGGCCTGGAAGAGGGGCAACCAGGACAGAATCCGGCGCCCCGACCGGGACCAGAACCCGGTGTGCTGGCGCCGCAAGGCGGAGGACTAGCCTATTGAGCCACGGCGCCAGCTGGGAAATTAAAATGTTAATCTATACTTAATGTACCCCTTCTTTTTCTTCATTTCTTCAGTGTGGAAAAGAAGTAATTTACTTTGAGATATCTCAAAGCTTTATTAAAGTCAGGCAGCAAGAGGAGATAAGGATTTTTCTATGCAGTTACCAGCAAGAATGGAAAAGAACCTATTTGTTTTGTCTGTACTGATACCCTTCTCTGACGAGTTACTGCTGTCCAAGGAAAGAGGCCATGGGGTCATCCGGCCTCTGACGTTTCATTCTGTAGGCCTCCATTTCCTCTTCAGTGGGCTCTCCAGTCTCATAGATGCTATTGTAAGGCCGCTTCCTCTCATCGATCTGCATGATCTCCTTGACCTGAAGGAGGCGGGCTTCCTCTGCATTGAGTGCCTTTTTCAATTTCTCATGTTTCTTTTCTTCATTATCACTATCTGAACTGCTCCTGTGATGCTTCTTCTTCTTCTTTTTCTTCTTTTTCTCTTCTTTCATTTTCTCCTGATGCATTTCCATGAGGGTTTGTGGCTTTTTTGCAGACTCTTCTCCACCTGTATCATTTATAATACATTCCTCAGAATTGGCAGTCTCCTTCCCAGCTTCTCCAGTACAAGAGGAATACTTGAAAAAAGAGTGACAGCACTTGTATCCCCATCGGCCTTCTTTCCAGTAAGATCCCCAGATATGTGTGTGATTATTGATCTTCACATCCTCCTCATACTTGGAGCAGGCAACTGCCCGCTCCTGTCCTTTGATGACTGTTCCATGTCTTGAGTACTCCACGTAGTCTTCAGTTTGGGCTAAAAGCAGTTCAGCTGGGGGAGCATCCAGGTGTTCTTGGCCACCATACTTTTCCAGGATGCTCTCTTTCTGCTGCTCTTTGAAGTCTTCTTTTTTGATTTTGAAGGACTTATACAACAATTCTAGTTTTGTGGGATCTGCCTGCAGATGCACTTCGGATCCTTTGTCATACGCCTCCCAAGCAAACAACTGTGTCTGAGCCATTGAAATGGTATCTCCTGTGTATCTAACGAAGTTATCTCCTGCATAACTCACTTCGTCTGGATTCTTTCCTGCATTGGCATAAGGATTCTCTCTCATTGCTCTAGTTTTTGGATCATAGTAGGCAGAATTTGGATCTAAATTTCTCAAATATTTTGCAATATCTTCTCGAATTCTGAGATTCCGAACAGTAATTCATCTCTTAGAGTCAAAATTCTGCCCAGGCATGTCAATGTCATCTGCATATTTATCTTCATCTTCATCTTCACTATTATGATCTTTTTCCTTCTGAGAATTTGGTTCCTCTTCTCCCCACTGGTGTTTTGGAGAATTAGCTTGTTCTACTAATTTTCCTGAGGCCAGTTCTTCCTGGAGTTTCTGGGCTTTCAGTGTTGGTTTTGCCAGATCAACTTTGGCATACTCTTCTACAATTTTCATGTGTTCTTCTGGATTGTAGCCATTCCATCGATCCCTCTTCCCATCGTAGTCAAACATCAGTTGAGGCTGGATATGTTCATCTGGAGCGATATTAGTACCTGTAAATTTGGCTCCAACTCGTCTGGGTCTCTCAAAGCAGTCTTTCTTTTTGCGTGTCATGGCCCCACAATTTTCACAGGCTCCTTTGCGGTACTTCATAGTTATGGAATTCTCTTTCACACCCCTCTTGTACCATTCTCCAGATGAACTGAATTGCTTCTGTTTCTCTGGCTGTGGTCTCTGATGCTTTAAAGTAGGTCTTTTCGATGGATCAATATACCATGGTACTGATGAGATATACTGAGAAATATGAGGGTTGATGTCTTTCCCTTCTTCATCAACTTCTGCAGGAGCATTACCCAGTTTTCGCTGTTCTTCTAGCTCCTTCTTCTTCCTCCAGTCTTCTCTAGTCATCTTCTTTGGTTCCTCCAAACTCATTTCTTTGGACCCCTACAGGGGTGCAGCATTAACTGCATCCACAGCTGCTGCTGACATGGTGATGTGGACTCCGCCACTCCGGCGGCCACAAGGTCACTCGAAAACCATCCGATCAAAACGAACAACAAGTGTCTTTTAAGAGAATGATTAATATCTGAACTCAATAAATACAGATACTTAGAGTTTCTTTTTTTTTTTTAACTCTTCCTCAAGTAAGTGTAAAAGTCATGACATTTTAAACTTAGCTCATCATTAAAGTGTGGTTGACTCCTTTGCCACAAGGGGAAAGAAATAATTTTATAGATAATTCAAGTCAGCCCCGTACCCCAACCCTGTCCTCACAACCCCAAATACAAGTCGTGCATCATTTTACACTTCTAATGTAATTTTTAAATGCTTAAGTTCTTTTGCTCAGGCACCATTCCTTTTACTAGAGAGTGAAGATGTAAAATGAAAACAGATCATATTGTTCTGTGGAAGCTTTAGCTCGTGTGAATGTGTTCTCTCGCAGGAGACAAATCCCAACCTGATAGAGAAGTCAGGGCAGGTTGGGAAGCTCAGTCATTGGCGATCGAGACCCTGCCTGATGTTGTCAGTGTGTTCTCCTCGTGGGCCAGGCAGACTGTGGCCATGGAGTCCCAGGAACCTGCCTGGGGTCTGAGGCAAGATCTTTATGCATGTGCCTAAGGATTTGTTCCGTTTGGAGGTGAGTGTTTGGTGTGGTGGTTAAGACGTTACTTGGAGGCTGGCACCGCGGCTCACTAGGCTATCCTCCGCCTTGCGGTGCTGGCACACTGGGTTCTGGTCCCGGTCGGGGTGCCAGATTCTGTCCCGGTTGCCCTTCTTCCAGGCCAGTTCTCTGCTGTGGCCAGGGAGTGCAGTGGAGGATGGCCCAAGTGCTTGGGCCCTGCACCCGCATGGGAGACCAGGAGAAGCACCTGGCTCCTGGCCAGCCGTGGCGGCCATTGGAGGGTGAACCAGCGGCAAAGGAAGACCTTTCTCTCTGTCTCTCTCTCTCACTGTCCACTCTGCCTGTCCAAAAAATAAAAATAAAAAAATAAATAAAAAATAAAAGACGTTACTCGGGAATCCTACATCTGGTATTGGAGTGAACAAGCCTTGTAGATGGAGTGTGTACAGAGAGGCCTGGCTCCCTGCCTGGCCGCTGGCTGTTCCAAGGTGTTTGGTTTGGGATCTCATCATTTTCTATGTGTTCAGCCTGAGGCTGGGCACACTCCCATGGGAGCCACCTGGGGTAGAGAGGGATGGCAGCCTTGGCATCACTCGTCTTGGCCCTGCCTCTCCAAACCACTCTGCTCTGACCTGTGACAGGGAATTAGCAGTCGTTTCATCATAGGGTTATGATGAAAACATCGTGGAAATAAAACTGAGAACAGATATATGAAAGGGGATTGTGATCTCTATAATGTTAGCAAATATAGGTTGTCATCATCATTGTCATGGTTATTATCTCTTTTTGTTTTAATTTTTTGACAGGCAGAGTGGACAGTGAGAGAGAGAGAGACAGAGAGAAAGGTCTTCCTTTGCCGTTGGTTCACCCTCCAATGGCCACCGCGGCCGGTGCGCTGTGGCCAGCGCACCGCGCTGATCCGAAGCAAGGAGCCAGGTGCTTCTCCTGGTCTCCCATGGGGTGCAGGGCCCAAGGACTTGGGCCATCCTCCACTGCACTCCCTGGCCACAGCAGAGAGCTGGCCTGGAAGAGGGGCAACCAGGACAGAATCCGGCTCCCCGACTGGGACTAGAACCCGGTGTGCCGGCGCCGCAAGGCAAAGGATTAGCCTAGTGAACTGCAGCGCCAGCTTGTCATGGTTATTCTCATATTAACAGATCGAATGATGCATTTCACACAAGAGGGGACTTCAGGAAGCTTGTGGAAGGGGCAGGCATTGTCAAGCAGCGGATTAAGCCTCCACTTGAGACACTCACGTAACATACCAGAATGCCAGAGTGGAGTCCTAGCTACTCTGGGCTCTCCCTCCAGCTTTCTGCTAATGCACCTTGAAGAAAGCGGATGATGGCTCAAGCACTTGAGTCCCTGCCATCCACATAGGAGACCCCGTTGGAGTTCCAGGCTCGTGGCTTCATCCTGGCCCAGCCTGGGCTATTGCCAGCATTTGGGGAGAGCCAGCAGATGGAAGGTCTCTCTCTCTCTGTCTCCTCTCTCTCTCTTTCTGTCTTTTCCTCTCTGTGTCATCTGCTTCTCATGTAAATAAATCTTTAAAAAGAAGTTAGTGGAAAATTGAATTAAAAATGTTCACTTTTGTTCAAAAATTTGAAACCCATGCATTATTTTTTCATAATGTGCATTTTTCCATGAACTTTTGGAGAGCCCTCATATGTGTGCATACTCCAGGAGTCCCATAAGCAATCTCTAGCAGTGGGAGTAGATATGTAGGGAGGAGGAGGGACGGAAGATCCTGGCATTGTCCTTTCCACCAAGTCCCTGCCTCAGTTTGCACTGTGAAGCTACTGTGTCCCTGGGGTCTCGCTACCTCTGTATTCCTCATAGGGTAAATCGTTCTCCCAGAGAAAAGAGACACATGTAGCCCCCTTCAGCCTGGGCCCCCTATGCAAGCCACCATCTTTGCTGGGTGTTCAAAGAAACATATTTTGAAAATAAATGTATTATACCTTATAGATAGACATGGAACAGAACTCCCTTGTCACCTTTCCCATCTTATTTCCAGGTGTCTTACAAGTGTGGCAGGAACTCAATTACTTTAACCATCGTTGCTGTCCCCCAGGGTCAACATTAGCAGGAAGCTGCAGTGAGGAGCCAGAGCTGAGAATTGAACCCAGGAGCTCCAATGTAGGACATAGGTTATCCCATCTGCTAGGCTAGACTCCCATCCTCACACATGTGGAGATCTTAAGTCTTTGGGTGGAGGAGGCTGAGGATGCCTATGTGGTATCTGAGCAATGAAATCTCTGGGATCTTGCCTGGTCACCAGGGACAGACAGGCCCCAAGCGGATACACTGTCAGGTGGAGGATTTATATGATTTTTTTTTACACCTTACTTCATTGCAAAATGGTTCACATCCGCGTGGCTCCTGGTTGGTGACTGACAGTTTTATAGGCTCTGGTGAGTTTGGGTGTGATAACATTTTAGCGGCTCACCAGGTAAACTCTGGCTTTCAGTGTCCCAATGGGAAATTTGGTGTGAAACCAATTAAGTTGTAGGTGAAAATTGACCATGTCTATGACAGAGGTGGTTTCTCACCGCGAAAAAAAACCACGTCCTGCATGAAAAAGAGTGCACCAAAACCCCAAACCGCCTTTCCTTTTCATAAGCAATTTTCAGCCAAAAGGAAAAGCAGTTTTATTTTTTGTGAACCCACAAAAATGTGATATTTGCCAGTATGGAAATCGCATTGGTACGACTGTGTAAAAGATGTTTTTCTCATCCAGGCAAATGGGAGAGTTTTACATGAAATTGCTTTGGGGGCAGGGGTGAGAGGGAATGATCTTCTTTGAAAGAAATGGTCTGCTCTGCCATAGGTATAGCAATCGCTCCAAAAAGTACACTCACAGGCACACCCTGGTCTCTGCACAGCTGCTAGTCCATCGCTGATTCAAGTTCAAGGAAGAGTCCATAAACCACAGTTTGAAGGAGTTTTTAGCTAAACAGTTTTGATGGATTCAAGCAGTGGCTTCGAGAACTGGCATAAAGCGTACCCATGACAAGACCACTGTGCCCAGGGCCACGAGAGCATCAGGCGCTTCCTGGGGGAAACAGGCTCTCTGGAGCAGACCACAGCAGCATCTCAAGCTGTTCCTCTTGCTTCTGGGTTCTGCAGGGTGCTTCAGGCAGCCAGCACTGGATTGACAGGGTCTGGTGAGAATGCTTCCTTCCTGAGGTCCCGCCCTTCCAGCACTGATAGGCACCCCTGGCTTTGCAAAACCGACCATTGGGCCAGAGACTCAGTGAGGCAGGGCTCCTGCCCCCTCCTACTACCTTTGGGAAAGAGCAGGCCTGGCTGCCAACATGATTCCACCCTTGTGGTCTACATAGCGAAAGGTCAGGTTCTCGCTGTAGACTTTTTGGCAATGGGGAGCTCCAAAGGCTCCTTATGCTGCCCACTTTACAAATAATGTGTGACTCAATTGATCTATTCTGTCTGCAGCTCCTTTACTGATAAGGGTGACTTTCAAAAAAAAAAAAAAAAAAAGCACCCATCCTTGTTCCCTCCCTGTCTAAACAAACCCTGATGAGTGTTGGTAGAAGAATGCTAAGCTCAATCAAGTTACTGGCTCAGCCAGGTGGATGGAGGAGAGCTGAGAGTACATGACCTTTTGGGCATGAATGACGGTAGATGTCCCCTAGAGAAGATTCATTTAAATATCATGTAGCAGATAGCAGGATATTAGCATAAATTACTGAAGAGAGGCTATGACAGCCCCAGGAGACAGCAGTCAGCCCTCTCCTCACCAACAGTACCAGAATCTGCCGGAGAACTCGGGTTCACACAATACTGCATCAGAGCACGGCAGTGAGCCCGCTCCTCTGCCTGCCAGTACGTCCCTGAAAGCTGCTTTTTTTTTTTTTTTGTACCAAATTCAAATCTATTTCCCAATGACTTTCAGCAAATCAGCTTCTAGAGGCTTCCGTTCCCTTCCTCCCAGGAGCTGCACCCTCAGGGCCCATCTTTGAGGCCAAGCTCAGCTCCTGCTGGCCCACAACAAGTGGGGCAAATTCATGCCTTGGTCAGCTGGTGCTGTGGTCTGAATATCTGTGTCCTGCATATCCATGTGTGGAATCCCAGCTTCCAGGGTGATAATCTTAGGAGTGAGATCTGGGGAGGTGATCAGGTCCTGAAGGCAGCACCTTCCCAGGTGGAATTAAAGCCATTAGAAAAGAAACTTCAGGGGCCCAGCACTGTGGTATAAGAGGTAAAGGCACTGTCTGCAGCACCGGCATACCATATGGGCACCGGTTCTAGTTCCGGCTGCTCCTCTTCCAATCTAGCTCTCTGCTAT